CTGGACCCCAAGGCGTTACAGCACATGTACTGTACTCCCAAGTACCACAGATCACACTTCACTATACCAGCACTACCACCAAAATCGGAGGAATTATTGCCAAGACCGCAACACACCCTGGATTAAGAGGGACACGGAAGGCACTCAAAACTTACCAGAAATGACACACAATATGCAGATGCTGGAGTCACAATAACGTGGCTGAAATATGTTGATCAAACTACACACTAGAAAGTGAAGGGACGACGACGTTTCGGTCCGTCCTGGACCATTCTCAAGTCGATTCGATCCGTCACAATCGACTTGAGAATGGTACAGGACGGACCGAAACGTCGTCGTCCCTTCACTTTCTAGTGTTTGGTCTGGTCGACACACAATATGCAAAGTAGTTTTATTTGTCAACATAAAAAATCAAAAGACAAAATCGAGAAATAAAGTTACGTTATAGCCTTCTAATAGAGCCGAACTCAATACTGGTTGCGTTCCCAGAAACGCATGCGAGAGATTACCTGGGTAGAGAAATCAGGATCCTAAGTTATAGTTAATATAGCTGTGATAGAGTAAGTACATTAAATGAGAAGGTTTGTATATTAAAGAGGAACTTGTATGCACAAAGCTCTTAAACGTACCAAATGAGGCGGTAGACGTACTTGGAATCAAAGAACATAAATCATATTAATATTCTAATATGCAAACACCCAGATGGAAGAGCTTGGGAATTCGCAGAACAGATAAATAAAATAGAACATTCCCTCGATAATCTAGCCCAACCACTTGAGCTGGACGGTAGAGCGACGGTCTCGCTTCATGTAGGTCGGCGTTCAATCCCCGACCGTCCAAGTGGTTAGGCACCATTCCTTTCCCCCGTCGCATCCCAAATCCTTATCCCGGTACCTTTCAATTGCTATATAGTCGTACTGACTTAGCGCTTTCTCCTGATTGTTTCATTCCTTTCCATTCGTCGATAATCTAGAAAAAAGGCGCCAAATATTATCTTCCTTGGAGACTTCGATCTACCCAGTTTCAGACGGAGAATATCAAACAAAAACAAACACTCTGGAAATAACGTTGGGCGCAAGAGATAAAACGAAATCCAAAATATTTTCCCATATGCAAAATATAAATAACGAACAACCACCAGTATTAGAACCTATACTTAAAAGCGAAGGTTCATGCACAGAGTTAACAAAATCCTAAAAAGACGAGGCTATGTTTAGCAGGGCGACAAAGAATTTAGCAAAATCCTAAAAAGACGAGGCTATGTTTAGCAGGGCGACAAAGAATTTAGCAAAATCCTAAAAAGATGAGGCTATGTTTAGCAGGGCGACAAAGAATTTAGCAAAATCCTTAAAAGATGAGGCTATGTTTAGCAGGGCGACAAAGATCCTAAAAGATGAGGCTATGTTTAGCAGGGCGACAAAGAATTTAGCAAAATCCTAAAAAGATGAGGCTATGTTTAGCAGGGCGACAAAGAATTTAGCAAAAAATCCTAAAAAGACGAGGCTATGTTTAGCACCCCAGTAAACAGGAAAGTTGAAGGTCCGGACAACGTCTTTATGGACGGTATCCCAAACATTGACAGAATAACGAGCACAGCGGACTTTGAAAAAAATCAATTGACAACATGCCCTTGCACTCAGCCCCAACTCCTGGAATTCCATATTTATAATGAAAGGTAAAGTGCCAGTAGCAAGAGCGCTTAGCGAAATATGAAGAAAAAGCTTAGGTACAGGGGAGATACAAGAAGCACTTAAATCAGCAGACTTTAGACTTTAGACTTCACTGCACAAGGAAGAAACAAAGCCTTGCGGCTACCAACTACAGACCAGTCTCACACACAACACATAATGACCGAACGTTTAGTGAGCAAAATACAGCAAATATAGCATCAGGCAGGAAAATTATAGGATAGATTATGGGAACTTTTAAATCCTGGGATACCAACACAATGCTCCTACTTACCACATGACGTTCCGGCCTTGGGTACTGCTTGGTACCCAAGGCCGGAACCGAGTACCAAGGTAGTACCAAGTACTACTTGGTACTCTTCCGCTTTCAAATCAAGAGAGCAAGCTAAAATAAGTGGGAGAATAGTGAACATATATGTCATGCATATACATGATGATAAAGCACCTAAACTCTGGAGTACCAACGAGACGAGAAAAATATCACATAATATATACATAGAAGATACAGGAAAGTCAGGTTCCAGAAATATACAGTAAAATAACAACATACTGTAGCGAATGAAATGCTAGAAAATACATAATAGAACCAGTGAAGAGAGGAGGTGCCATAGGCACAATCAGAAAACATTGTATTGACATCAGACGCCCGCGACTATTCACTATATTCCTAGCAATATTTTTCCGGAAATATTGCAGGAACAAAAATGATCTTCTCCAAGATCAGTTAGACATGTTCCTGCAAGCAGTAACAGACCAACCGGGCTGTAGTGAATATAAGGGCCTGCGGGTCGCTCCAAGCAACAGTCTGTTGAACCAAGCTATCACGTCAAGCCTCAAGGTTCAAGGCCGACCTTGGGAGAGTGGAAGAACTCTCCTAGAACATGACATGTAATGTTGTTGACCAGACCACACACTAGAAAGTGAAGGGACGACGACGTTTCGGTCCGTCCTGGACCATTCCCAAGTCGATTGTGGTCTGGTCAATTGTGCTCAAGTCTGACTGTGGGTTCTAGTGTGTGGTCTGGTCAACATATTTCAGCCACGTTATTGTGACTCATCATCTGCACATGTAATGTTATAATAATGTCATTTACATTATTATAGAAAGTGAAGTAAATGTACAGGGGAATAACTGAGGCTGGCGGCAGCCTGCCTCATGTTATCTGATAACATGGAGTGACGTTACAAGGTGACACCTGTCGTGCTCCAGAGACTGGCACTCTGAACCAGCCTCACACCTCCTCCCCTTATTACTCACCAATCATTACCCACCACTCATTACTCACACTACATTACTCTGTGATCGTCCTCACTCGTCTCGCTCCTTACAGATGTGTCCTGTATATCCGGTTCTCATCCCTACAATTGGTAGTCCCTGCCGGGGAGTGATAGCTTTCGCAAGTGGCATTAATTTTATGTATATCATTGTTTATTTTTGTTTCTTCGAAGTTGGAGGCGAGGCACTTGGGGGCAATATTCAACAAACTTTACAGGGATTGTCACAGACAGACACAGACACCAGATCAATACGAGCACAATGGCAGCAGGTTATAATTTAGGCATGTTGCAGTGAGTATGATTGCATATTCTGTGTTGATTATTTTCTTATTTAGGGCTTCTATTCCTCTGACTAGTGCTCTTGCATCATAGTTTAATTGGAAGAGTATTTCTCCAAATGTCATATTTATTCGAGCTCTATAAGAATAAAAGTTAACTAGAATGTATTACACTTATTATAAATTTACACAGCGGTTCGAACCTACAAGGTTCATTCTCAAGTGAGGAGACAGGATGCTTGATGAAGACTAAGCCACCCAAGAGATGGCACGGGCATGAGTAGCCCATAAAAGAGACAGTTGCTGTTTTATATTTAGCTACTCAGAACGAAACATCCATGTAGCACGGGCCATAGTGAGCCCATAAGATCCTGTGAAGAGATATATTCTCCTAGAGTCAGGAGTTGTTTTTGTTTTAGATTCAGCTACACGCAACAAACAGTTCCAAGTAGCACGGGCTATGGTGAGCCCGTAAGTGGAGGCTTTTGGGAGCCATTATCAGTATCAATAACGTACTGGAGATCTGGGGGATGGGGTCCGTGGACGCGCCAATCCAATCCAGGACCATAGGGCTGGTCAGACCAGTGAATTGATGGGGTACACACCTCGCTCACAGCTGAGTGCCACAGCAGTCAGCAGGGATGTCTGCGGGGCTGGCCACAGTCGGCCGGTCTAGGGGGAGATGTCCGGGTGTTACAAGAGGATTGGTTTCCTTATCCCAGTTCCCCGAAGTTGGTAGTCTGGTCGAATTTCCTTCTTCAAGATGTCTTGGTCGCAGCGTTCTTGAGGGACGACCATGCGAAGGATCCGTCCTGCTTCCCTGAACTTGTATTCCCAGTAGTCGTTGTGGATTATGGAGTTATCCTGCCTCTCCTCCTTGGATAGTGCGCAGCCACGTCGGATATACCCGGAGGAGGCAGCATGGAGCCTCTCAGTCCGGTTGGTGCCAATGCGGGATCTGGAGGGAGTGGGGGAGGTGCCCGGGAGGCCGCATGAGGGGCAGGAGAGCCGGTGACATCGACTGAAGCGCGGGAGTCGGTCGAGTCATTGTGGTCGAACCCGAGACAGGATTCATTAGTGAACATTAAGCCACCCAAGGGATGGCACGGGCATGAATAGCCCGTAAACAGGAGTTGTTGTTGTTGTTGTTTTAGATTAAGCTACTCAGAACAAGACGTTCTAGTAGTACGGGCTATGGTGAGCCCGTAAGTGGAGGCTCTTTGGAGACATTATCTGTATCAACAGCTGATACTAGAGATCTGGCGTCCGGCAAGCGCAATAAACAGGATGTTGTTGTTGTTATAGATTCAGCTACTCGGAACAAGTTCCAAGTAGCACGGGCTATGGTGAGCCCGTAACTTACCTGGCACAGGAGCGGGGCAAGTAGCACGAGCTATGGTGAGCCCGTAACTTACCTGGCACAGGAGCGGGGCAAGTAGCACGGGCTATGGTGAGCCCGTAACTTACCTGGCACTGGAGCGGTGCCCAGCGTGAATAAACAGGAGTGAATATATTGGACTTATACATATTGGATACTGCTGGAAGGTGAGGTACATACAAATAGGTGAGGGGTGAGGAGTAAAGGTCAATAACCTATGCCTACAGAGAGTAGTCAGTTACGGGCTCACCATAGCCCGTGCTACATGGACACTTCGTTCTGAGTAGCAAAATCTAAAACAACAACAACGAGTAGTCAGTAGTGGGCATGGCGTCCTGGGCAGTGACATCATCGTTGACATCTTCGCGTTCCCGTGTTGCTCTCACTCTCATGGTGGGTAGAGTGAATAGTTTAGTTGAGTATTTATGGTGAGTTTTTCGACTTTTATGTGAAAGCCCTTCACATACAGGGCTTTACTGATGCAGGACTCTGTCTGCCCTTTATTCTGAACTGCTGTATATACCTGTTTCTGTACTCATAACTCTCCATTTGTCTGTTTTAAAGTCCAGTAACTATTCTTGTGATCACTTCTGGACAAAAATGTCCACTATGTGTATGTTCTATAGTGGTTGCTTAGCCTTACCGAATACGTCAGACGTTGACGCGTCTGATCAGCCTTGCCGGAGATACGGACCAATGAAGGACTGATTTAAGACAATCGCATGTTTAATGGCCGCGGAACCCCCCGCCATCGTTTTCCAAAATTTGTCCAAATGGAGAGCAACCCTCGTTGTTTGTTATGGTCGAGTTGCCTCTAGGAACTGTAGAAGCTTGCGACCTTCATCTGAGGTGGTTTGCCACGAAGCTGATAAGGGATAGCGACTGCGTGGCGCCTCCAGGTATAAAGGGGGTGAGACCCGTACTTCCCGGAAGTGATATCAGTGAGATTGTTGACGGGAGACTGCGGCCTCATACTCACATGTGCCCTTTCATTTTAACTCTTGTCTTGCCTTCTTTAGTTATAATTTTAGGTAAGCATGTTTAGTTCCATAGACACACACACTGAGATACGAAGATAAATATATATACATGCACACACACACACACACACACACACACACACACACACACACACACACACACACACACACACACACACACACACACACACACACACACACACACACACACACACACACACACACACACACACACACACACACACACACACACACACACACACACACACACACACACACAGACAAGCATACACGCACGCACACACACATGCATGTATACACGCAAGCACACACACACACACACACGCACAATCATCAGCTAGGCTTCACATGGTGCAACACCAGCCTGGAAGTACTTGTGCAACCCCAGCACAGTAAGACGTCTTGCTATGCATTCAATGAGAATCTTCTTCAATTAAAGTTCTCTTGGATTCTTTATAATATCCATTTTTTATTATTTCTCTGACATATTATTTAACATTGAATTTAAAATGTTGATAATACGGACGTCGAGGATTGAGCATACTGTCAACAACTGCTGTCAACAACTGCTGTCAACAACTGCTGTCAACAACTGCTGTCAACAACTGCTGTCAAAACTTGCCATTTATTTATATTATATTAATCAGAGACTGCAGAAAGGGCGCAGCGGAGCCAAAGCGACGCGTCGCCCTCCTATGACAACAGACAACCAAAATACCACGACCACAACCACAACCAGAACCACGACCAGTAATGCCGGCCGCACACCACACTCACCACACCCTCATCATCACAAGCACCATCAACAGGATCACAATGCAGGGGATGAGTCACAATAACGTGGCTGAAGTATGTTGACCAATCCACACACTAGAAAGTGAAGGGACGACGACGTTTCGGTCCGTCCTGGACCATTCTCAAGTCGATTGATCGACTTGAGACCGAAACGTCGTCGTTCCTTCATTTTCTAGTGTGTGGATTGTTGAGACCGAAACGTCGTCGTCCCTTCATTTTCTAGTGTGTGGATTGGTCAACAACAGGATCACAACACCAGCTAGGAAATAGGTTTATTTAATTTATTTATTGTACACAGGAAGGTACAACGGGTTATGAATGTACATACATCGGTTTGTATATACATTCATACAAATGTACATACATTCTTGCAAAGTCACTAACACGCATGGCATTCTGGCCACGTCTCAAAGCTAAAAGACAGAATTTGCAGTAAAAAATCAATTACAAGGTGAAACAATCCATTGCGAACAGAAATATATGTAGAGACAGGTACATAATGACAGTATTTTACTTCACATAATTACTAGATTAATATAAAGCGCAGATAATAAGTAAAGTGATGTAGTTGTATTTCTAGATTGTAAAGAATAAGGTGATTGTGACAGCAGGTGATTGTGACAGCAGGTGATTGTGGCAGCAGGTGATTGTGGCAGCAGGTGATTGTGGCAGCAGGTGATTGTGACAGCAGGTGATTGTGACAGCAGGTGATCGTGACAGCAGGTGATTGTGACAGCAGGTGATTGTGGCAGCAGGTGATTGTGACAGCAGGTGATTGTGGCAGCAGGTGATTGTGGCAGCAGGTGATTGTGACAGCAGGTGATTGTGACAGCAGGTGATTGTGGCAGCAGGTGATTGTGGCAGCAGGTGATTGTGGCAGCAGGTGATTGTGACAGCAGGTGATTGTGGCAGCAGGTGATTGTGACAGCAGGTGATTGTGACAGCAGGTGTTTCGGGCAACATCCTGAAACGCTGATACCAGTTTTTACCACTCTGTTATATGCGTCACAAGATGCCACAACGTTTTGCGTGACATGTCTATTGTACTAACGCCGTTTGCGTCACGTGTCGACATGACTAACAATAATTGCGTCACACACAAACAAACCGCAACACCGTGTCACCATCAAGGGCCCCTGTAACTCATCATCTATAAATACAGCATCCTAAGATATTGCGTATGATCTACATTCTACAGCCACGACAACATATACATACACAGTGGTATACCCCCCCCCCCGCTTCTCGGTGTATATACCGAGAGTATACAAAAGTATAACTCCTGATTGATCAGCAAGAAATTGTGGTGGCCTATCCTCAATCATCCATACCTGCACAAAGAGGATTTATAATAGATTATAATGTATTATTATATGAGTATCCGGCAACCTTTTGTTGTAATCCGGTTACTACGCATCAGTTCCCGCGCACCCTCCCGGAGGGCATGTAAGGAGGTGCATGCGGCGGTTTCTGGTTCAGTGTGAGCCAGTCCGAGGTAGGGGTCACAGCGTCCTCCCCCCAGGCAAACGACACGTATAGCTGCCACGTACAAACACCAACCACACGTCCACGGTCAAGATGGTGAAGCCAAAAGACCACCCAGACCACGGCTTAGGTTAGTGTCGGCCCCTCTTACACAGACCTTGTTATATATGCTTCATACAGTGGCACTTTTATTTAACATTTGAACGATAATGCATAATGTATTTGTGGAGCCCACAGATGGGTCTCCCATAAGACATAGCCCACAGTACCCATAAGACATTAGAGTCAGGGAAGGGAGAGTAGACTATAAAAAAGGAGACTACATAAAAGTAAGAGAGTATCTGGGAAATGAGCGCTAGAAGGAGGAACTTATAGGGGGAAGACGGTCCAGGAAATGATGGACCAAGTCAAAGTGGGTACAAGCCAAACTCCTCTCTTCTGTGCAAAGAGGCAGAAGAGAGGTTCATAACACCAATAGAACATATAATAACCCGTGGTGCAATAGACAGTGTCAAGACGCAAAAGCGAAATGCAGGAGGGAGGGGAGAAAATACACAGTGGAAAGGACAGAGATAAACCAGAATAGATGCAACAGGGCCAGGAATGACTACATAAACATTAGAAGATTGACAGAGACAAACTATGAAAAAGATATTGCTTCCAGAGCAAAGAAACCACCAAAACTCCGACATGGTCATTCACTGTCATTTTCCTTCATATATGGCCAAGTGACTAGGTTACGAAAAATGGGAGGCGGGTATACAGAAAATGATAAAGACCTGTGTGAGGAGCTTAATGCCAGCTTCCATAAAGTGTTCACTATTGAAACGTGAACAGCGCCCAGAGCTAGGGTGACAACCCCTGACGAGAGACTATTAAATATTGAGGTGACAGCAGAGGAAGGAAACAACTAGCAACACTAAACGTGATGCTAGTTCCCTATCCGGCCCAATACTATACCACGGGGGCAACCCATCCTCCGAATTGACAGTACGATTTTATACTAAGTGTAATAAGTACACTTTCTTACTGTCATAACCAGTGCATAATTGCACTTATGGGGCTGTTACATTGACCCAACTCCCTCCCCCGATTTAATTCTCCTCGTTTTCTGTTAAGCCAATCATAATTTTAGGATGACGCTGCATGGGGATAGAGGATCCCCATGGAGGATAGAAGCGGCACAGGCCCTCAACATATTTCTAGCACTGATTTATAATGAGTCACTTACAAAAGGGGAATTACCCAGCTGCTGGAAGAAGGCAAACGTGGTGCCAATCTACAAGGAAGGAGGTAGAGAAGAGGCACATAACTAGAGACTAGTGTCGCTCACAAGCATCCCTTACAAAGTACTCTTGTATAATAAGGTTAAGACTAGTTCCACACCTAGGAAGAATTAGATATGTGAGCAAACATCAACATGGCTTTAGGGAAGGGAAATCATGCCTGACGGACCTACTGGAGTTTTATGATAAAGTAACGAAAATAAGGCAAGACAGAAAAGGCTGGACAGAGTGCGTGTTTCTGGTCTGCCAAAAAGCCTTTGATATAGTACCTCACAGATTACTATACAACCTAGAGAGGCAGGCGGGTTTGAGCGGAAACGCACTGAAACTGGTAACAAATTACCTAACAGACAGGAGTCAGAGAAGGGAAGGGAATTATCAGGGGGGAAAGCACCAAGCCATTATGACAATATAGCCCTGGGAAGGGGTTAGGATAAGGATTTACGATGAGACGGGGGGGGGGGGGGGGGGGAAGAAATTGTGCCCAACCACTTGGACGGTTGGGGATTGAACGCTGACCCACGTGAAGGAGCCCTCTGAATGGTGATCAACCATCAGAAAAAAAATTTTTACATTTAAATATCTGAATTCTGTCGAGCAGATGGTAAAACGATCGACTTGGCACACCACCTTTCATCTCTACTGACCTCATGGGGGTCACCACAGGAGTCGATCCCTTTGAAATGGGCAACAGGGCTGACCCAGACCCGCCTATGAAAGTCCCCTAACCCTTACCAGTCACCCTGCAAAGTTTGATGAGGCTAGCCCCAAGCATCTGGCCTTCAACCTTGGACAGACAGCAAATACACACATATTCTATTTTATAGATATACATTTGTTTTGGTTTAAACAATTATTATCTGCGCGAGAGAATTAGATACGAGATAACGACCATACCTTCCGTTCCCTTCACAGAGGCAGTGGAGACGACAGTGCGCACATGCGCAGCCAACAGCAACAACGACTCCAGCGACAGCGACAGCAGCAGCAGCAGCAGCAGCAGCGGTCACAGCCACAGCTCAGGCGGAGGTGGCCACTCTTCAGACAAGAAGAAGAAGAAGAAGAAGAAGGACAAGAAGAAGGGTGACCACAAGCACTAACTACACGCCAGCGCCATCTAGTTCCTGTATATGTTACTGAACCACTAGTGTCTTGTCCGACCCCCAGCGCCATCTACATGTTGAGATGCTGAACGTGTTACTTAACGTTCAGCAGCTAGATAGATAGCGATGGGTCGACTGCCACTCTCTCTCTCTCTCTCTCTCTCTCTCTCTCTCTCTCTCTCTCTCTCTCTCTCTCTCTCTCTCTCTCTCTCTCTCTCTCTCTCTCTCTCTCTCTCTCTCTCTCTCTCTTGAGTCCTTACTGAATGAGCCGCTTGTGGGCTATTTCAGTAATAACTTGTGGCCAATATTTGTTGACGTTTTGTTCTGTCACTAGACGGTTCTAATGTATACAGAAAGGTGTACCCAACCTCTCGGTGTATATATATACACTCAGAGTTTACTTTTAGTCATGAACTCTTTATCACAACTAAAGTATACTTTAGTTACTATATAGACATATTCCTTGTTATTAATAAATATTCCAATATTATTTTAAAAAATTTGTGTTAAAACCAATTAAATGTTTAAGTAAAAATAAAATAAAAAAATATATAATTGCAAGAGCTTTGTTTATTCCCCTTTACTGAAGGGCAGACACATTGAGGACAACGTTGATAATTTACACACACAAGATCTTTAGGTATTTCAGTAGAAAAATGGAGATATACTGAAAATATATCCGACTTGATGTATCTCTTGAGGTGTGTCACGACATACCTCAGACCAGGGACAACAGTATTTAGACCAGGGACAAAAACATTTAGACCAGGGTCAAAAACATTTAGACCAGGGACAAAAGTATTTAGACCAGGGACAAAAGTATTTAGACCAGGGACAAAAGTATTTAGACCAGGGACAAAAGTATTTAGGCCAGGGACAAAAGTATTTAGACCAGGGACAAAAGTATTTAGACCAGGGACAAAAGTATTTAGACCAGGGACAAAAGTATTTAGACCAGGGACAAAGGTATTTAGACCAGGGACAAAGGTATTTAGACCAGGGACAAAGGTATTTAGACCAGGGACAAAGGTATTTAGACCAGGGACAAAAGTATTTAGACCAGGGACAAAGGTATTTAGACCAGGGACAAAGGTATTTAGACCAGGGACAAAGGTATTTAGACCAGGGACAAAAGTATTTAGACCAGGGACAAAAGTATTTAGACCAGAGACAAAAGTATTTAGACCAGTGACAAAAGTATTTAGACCAGTGACAAAAGTATTTAGACCAGTGACAAAAGTATTTAGACCAGGGACAAAAGTATTTAGACCAGGGACAAAAACATTTAGACCAGGGACAAAAATATATTCGAATAAAGATCAAGATTGTTTTTATGTTCAAAACGCTCTGTGTAATATTAATAATTTAACATTTACCTGAATTTACCTGAGGGCCACCATCACTAGCGGCCTCGACGGGGGACAGGAAGCCGACAGCTTGTCAAAAGGTCTTCTTATAGTACCTGATGACCTTTTACACTGAATTTTGAACTACAGTACTATGGTGGCATTTATGGATACATAAACACGTGACTCCATGAACTCATACGTTCACAAAGGTGTTTTTCTTTTTGCAATTGTTCTATGTAATGTAATAAATATAAGTTTACAAAGGCCAAGTCCTGTCTAATTTACCTCTTGGTTGAACTCAAGAACAAAAAAATGTCGGCAAACAGCACGAGTCTTGTGTTATTCTTCAAGAACATTACACAGTTGGTACTGGAACCAACCCATAACCCTTAAACTGCGCAACCTTTTTTTTTTAAGTATTACATCAAGGTGTGCATGTTAAAAGTAGTTAACAAATCAAATGGGTCAAAGAGAATCACATTATGGCGTTTGGAGCAATGTAAAGGTTAAGTAGGTTCTTGAACGAGACCTGAAAATAAAAAAAATCCCTGAACAGGTCCTTATATCCGTCGCTGCAACTAGCTCTTGAGTAGATGGAAATTAGCCTTAACTTGTTATCACGTAATTATGAGTTTGAACTAGACTTTAAATTTGTGCTGCACTTTCATCCTAAGGATGAAACTCCTGGATTAAGGAGGTGTGCACTCAGCATTAACACAGACGTCACACGCACTCAGCATTAACAGAGACGTCACACGCACTTAGCATTAACACAGACGTCACACGCACTCAGCATTAACAGAGACGTCAGACGCACTCAGCATTGACACAGACGTCACACGCACTCAGCATTAACACAGTCGTCACACGCACTCAGCATTAACACAGTCGTCACACGCACTCAGCATTTACACAGACGTTACTCGCACTCAGCATTAACACAGACATCACACGCACTCAGCATTAACAGAGACGTCACACGCACTCAGCATTAACACAGACATCACACGCGCTCAGCATTAACACAGACATCACACGCACTCAGCATTAACAGAGAGGTCACACTCACTCAAATGAAAACAGAAACAAGACAAAATGTAGTTAAAGCTGTGCTCGCCAGGCCCACAAGACGCACTGTACCTCACCACAGACATCTTAGATCCAAGAGCCCTGATTAGGGCATTAATAGACATCTGGGGCATTGCTATATGAGAAAAATGCCTCTACAGACAAACAAATTGTAAACCCTTCGGGGTCCTTCGGTCCGTCCTGAACCAATATCGAGTCGTGTGTGTGTGTGAGGAAGAGGTTGATTGATTGATTGATGAAGATTAAGCCACTCAAGAGATGGCACGGGCATGAATAGCCCGTAAATGAGGAAGGAATTGTTGTTGTTTTAGATTCAGCTATTCGGAACATGGAGTTCCAAGTAGCACGGGCTATGGTGAGTCCGTAGTGGACTTACCTGGCACAGGAGCGGGGCTGTAACTGTATGGAGGAAGGGAGGAAGGAACGAGTTAATAAAGAAAAGAGAGTGAGTTGGGGAGAAGGTAGGAGAAGAAGGTAATTTGTAGAAGAAGGGTAAGGTGAAAGGTAAGAATGGCAAGAATAATACGAATGGGATGAAGGGAGAATGAGAAGATGTAAGAATAAGGGGAAGGTAAGAAAAAGACAAGAGGGGTAAGAAAAAGGGGTAAGTTTAAGTCAAGTCACGTTTGTTAAGAAGGTTAGAGCACGTAGGTATGTACCATGAAAGGGAAGAGTCAACAGCAACAAAGCCAGGACTAAGGTTCATGTTGGGTAGGTTGTGTATCAGAGCCGATTCGACAAGACGGCGTCTGTGAAGTTAATAGGTAGGAAAGATAAGTTTAAAAGAAGACCAATCTACTGGATGATTAGAGTCCCTAACATGACAGAATAGAATATTGTATGGGTCTGCAGACTTAACACTTCTTTTGTGTTCCTTAAGTCTGTCATTAAGTGTATGGCCAGTTTCACCAAAGTATTGGAGAGGACAAGACGAACAGGAAATAGAGTAGACACCAGCAGCATTAGAAGCAGGAGGAGCAGTGTGAACCAGATTACTGCGAAGAATGTTAGTTTGTCGAAAGACGAGCTTCATGTCAAGAGGACGAAGGGTATTACTGAGATTTTCAGATAGATATGAAGATAAATCATGAGTTCAGATATGAAGGGGAAGGCAGAGTACAGTGCTACTAGTGTTTGATGCGGGTTTGGGATGAAAGAAATTACGTTTAGCTTGAGAATAGGCACAGTTAATAAAATGTAAAGGGTAACCAAGGCGAGAGATAGATTTGTAAATCAAAGAAATCTCAGAATCAAGAAAGTGAGGATCGCTGATGCGTAGCGCACGGAGGAAGAGGGAGACGAGGACACTTCTTAACAGAAGGAGGATGGTGGGAAAAGAAGTGAATGTATATGCCACTATGCATGGGTTTGCGGTAGACAGAGAAAGAGAACCCGGACACAGAGCTGTGAACGTGAACGTCAAGAAAGGAAAGAGGGAATTAGATTTCCATTCAACTTTGAAATGGACAGAAGGAGCTAGATTGTTAAGAGAGGAGAGGAAAGGCTGAAAAAGACTAAGGTCATGAGGCCATAAGGCAAAAATGTCATCAACATAGCGAAGCCAGAGAGAGAGGGACGAGTATCAATAGTAGGAAGAAGAACAGTTTCGAAATATTCACATAGAGATCGACAAGAACAAGGAAAAGAGGGGAACCAAAAGCTACACCGAAAGTTTGAGAGAAGCATTTACCGCTGAAAGAGAATGAGTTAGAGTCAGCACAGAGTCTGATGAGTTTGATGAGTTCGAGGAAAATGTCAGTGGGAAGCGGGAGAGGTAGAAGGCCCTCAGTCGCCTTCAGTCTAAGGAAAGAGTAAACGTCATCGAGGGGAACATTAGTAAACAGAGAATCGACATCAAGACTAAGCATCTTACAGGAGGGCTGCAGGCGCAGTCTTTCTATGAAGTCCCGAGAGTGACGAAGGTGGGCAGGAGAAAAAGTGCCATGATAAGGCGTCACACTCCAGTAGATCTTCGGGGTCACACAGTAGAGGTTCGGGGTCACACAGTAGACCGTCGAGGGTCGCACAGTAGACCTTCAGTGTACACATTTGGGGTCACAGTAAAGCCCTACGGGGCCAGAAAGATGCCACATTTTAGCATCACAGCATATGACTTCAACGTCAGAAAGTAGACCATTCGGGTCATAAAGAACAGATCTACGGGAGCACAGACTTGACCTTAGGGTTACTGAGACGATCTTCGAGGTGACAGCTGTTGGTCCTATCAAAGTGGTCACCCTATGTACGAGGCAGTACAGCCAAAGGGGTCACCCTGAGACCAGGGTACGTGACAGTACAGCCAAAGGGGTCCCCCAGAGACCAGGGTAAGTGACAGTACAGTCAAAGGGGTCACCTGAGAGCAGGGTACGTGACAGTACAGTCAAAGGGGTCACCTGAGAGCAGGGTACGTGACAGTACAGCCAAAGGGGTCCCCCAGAGACCAGGGTACGTGACAGTACAGTCAAAGGGGTCACCTGAGAGCAGGGTACGTGACAGTACAGCCAAAGGGGTCCCCCAGAGACCAGGGTACGTGACAGTACAGTCAAAGGGGTCACCTGAGAGCAGGGTACGTGACAGTACAGTCAAAGGGGTCCCTCAGAGACCAGGGTACGTGACAGTACAGTCAAAGGGGTCACCTGAGAGCAGGGTACGTGACAGTACAGTCAAAGGGGTACCCCAGAGACCAGGGTACGTGACAGTACAGTCAAAGGGGTCCCCCAGAGACCAGGGTACGTGACAGTGCCACACACACTTCCTACTCAGCGGACTATGATAGGAGATAAGGGCAGGACGAGGCCATCAGACGGCGGGTGCCGGTGTTCGTGCGTCGCAATTGTGTTATCTCTTAATTCCCATAATGTGCCCGAGTTTCGACCTCGTTCACTGCGCATAAGCTCTCACGCATCCCTGGCCTCGCCGGGTATAAAAGGATACGCGTTCGCTAGCCATACAAGACCTTCCACGCGTTCGCTAGCCTTACAAGACCTTCCACGCGTTCTTGCCATACAAGACCTTCCGCTTTTGTGGCGAAGCCAAGAGATTGACTGATAATTCAATATTTAATTCCAAAGAAAAGCGCACCAAGAGTGACATTTATCACAGCGGCATTAAGGCGGGAAGAGTCAGCCGTCGTCACTACGACCAGTCAGCTGTTCAAGTCGACCAGTCAGCTGTTCAAGTCGACCAGTCAGCTGTTCAAGTCGACCAGTCAGCTGTTCAAGTCGACCAGTCAGCTGTTCAAGTCGACCAGTTAGCTGTTCAAGTCGACCAATCAGCTGTTCAAGTCGACCAGTCAGCTGTTCAAGTCGACCAGTCAGCTGTTCAAGTCGTTCTTCGTGATGGGGAAGCTTAGAGACCTGCTTCACCAACCCGAGCAGCTCTCTGGTTTGTTTTGAATTTGTTTTGTTAATTATCTTCCCTTAAAATAAATTGTTGAGTGAGTAAAGTGAAATGTATTTGGTTTATTTTTTTTAACGAAGACATACATGCAGTTTCTTTAGGGTAGTAATTAGTATTTCTTTGTTTATATACATAAAATAAATAAAAAGTTAAAGGCTTTAGGTCGAATAGTTTTTGTTACTCAGTTGTATTCAGGAAATAATTAGAATTGATACAAAGTTAAGCGGAAGTTATCAAGTGAAACAGTGATTGACGTATCCACAGGCCCGAGGGAGGCGAGGACCAGGACTCAGACAGTCAACAGCAGCAGCAGCAGCTGTAGCAGTTACTGCAGCAGCAGCACCTGTCCCTACAGCAGCAGCAACAGTATCGCCAGTCCTGCTTATGGGAGCAGCAGCAGTGTTGCCAGTACCGGCCACAGTACAGACGAGGGCGACTGTTCGTCTCTCAAGAAGATGAAGAAGAAAGTTGTTAAGAAGAATTCTGGACACAAGCACCGAGACGTGCTGTTGACCACCAGTCTCCTGTCTTACCTGTCTGTCGGTCGTTGACGGGAACCTTATATATTCCCATATGATTAAAACAACATATCCCACTGTACAGGTGACGTGGAATGGTTCAAACTCCTAAAAACATAAATATGTGTTCATATGTTAATAATGTGGTGAGTGTGTTAATGACACCACTCTCATGTCTTACCTGTCTGTCAGTTGTGGAGCACGAATCTCCTTATCTGTCTGTCAATCAATGGCGAAAGCCACCTTACTCGTTAAGATAAACTCCTAAGAAGTGCAAGTTTCTGAAACATTCAACAAGGCCTCAGTTGATGGAGGCGTCGCCACTTTATCTTCTCAGGAACACATTCTTGGATTGTATCATAAATCGCACAAAAGTCATTCATTGTATAAACCTCCATTTATTATTAGTTTATGGTGTTGTACACTGATGAATTGTTCATGGTGTTGTACACTGATGAATTGTTCATGGTGTTGTACACTGATGAATTGTTCATGGTGTTGTACACTGATGAATTGTTCATGGTGTTGTACACTGATGAATTGTTCATGGTGTTGTACACTGATGAATTGTTCATGGTGTTGTACACTGATGAATTGTTCATGGTGTTGTACACTGATAAATTGTTCATGGTGTTGTACACTGATGAATTGTTCATGGTGTTGTACACTGATGAATTGTTCACGGTGTTGTACACTGATGAATTGTTCCCGGTGTTGTACACTGATGAATTGTATTGGTATTTGTGCAGTGTGTTGAGGGGTCGACACTGAACATATTTAACGAAGACTTGTTCAGTCTCTGAAAAACCGTATTTTTAACCTCGACTCACAATAACATTATACACTATTTTTGCATTCTCTTAAGATAAATACATATTAAGATTTTCCATACACTGAGTTTACTTCTTGCCTTGCCAATGATAAAGAAAGCCTCGATGTGCATTTCAACACAAGCACTATCATCATCACGTGTATGTACGACGTGTATGTTAGGTCACCAGCGTTGAGCTGCCTGCAGATCTTAAGTCTTAACAACGTGGGAGAAAATTCGAAATTCCACCCACACGCCTGAAACAAAAGTGACGACATTTCGGTCCATCTTGGACCATGATCGAGGCGTGTCAAGAAAACGTCGAGAGTCAATATAAGGGCAAAAGGTGAGAGCGAACCTTCGTCACTTCTCTTCTGAGGTGAGGGAGTGGAGTCAATGTCTTGGCTGTCTGGTTACAGCTTCGTGGCTACATTTGTCGTAGCTTTTTAATAACAAATTATTTCCTGGTGGGCGTCAGTGTAACACTTCTCAAGATACTGTGTGTTAAGGGATTTGAGGAGAGAGAGAGAGGAGAGAGAGAGAGAGAGAGAGAGAGAAGAGAGAGAGAGAGAGAGAGAGAGAGAGGAGAGAGCGAGAGAGAGAGAGAGAGAGAGAGAGAGAGAGAGAGAGAGAGAGAGAGAGAGAGAGAGAGAGAGAGAGAGAGAGAGAGAGAGAGAGAGAGAGAGAGAAGAGGGAAGAGAGAGGAGAGAGAGGAGAGAGAGAGAGAGAGAGATAGAGAGAAGAGAGAGAGAGAGAGAGAGAGAGAGAGAGAGAGAGAGAGAGAGAGAGAGAGAGAGAGAGAGAGAGAGAGAGAGAGAGAGAGAGAGAGAGAGAGAGAGAGAGAGAGAGAGAGAGAGAGAGAGAGAGAGAGAGAGAGAGAGAGAGAGAGAGAGAGAGTCTTATATGTGTTCTGAGTGAAGGAGTTGCTGGAGACACTCTGGGTGGCACTCCTCGAACTCAGTAAAGAAGTTCCTGGAGACACTCTGAATGCCTCTCCTCGCATGCTTATTCATGGTCTCATAAATGCTGCTCCTTATCAGAATAAAGTCGACTTTACCACAGCAATGGGCCAGTTGTCAGACCCAAGCTGAATGGCGGTGATGTACCCAAGCTCACCGAGATGACGTGGCTGGCCTCTGATCACGCCACCTGGCGACTCCTGATAATAATAAGATAACCACAGGCGAGGTGCGGTTATCACGGCCCGGGTAGACAGGTTAGGTGCGGTTATCACGGCCCGGTTAGACAGGTGAGGTGCGGTTACCACGGCCCGGGTAGACAGGTGAGGTGCGGTTACCACGGCCCGGGTAGACAGGAGAGGTAGATGACATTATTTCAGATGACATTAAGACCGCACAATGACCATTCTCGAAACGTTGTGGAAATTATAAAAAAGTATAATACATTTTACAGTTAGTTTTTGTTCTTTAAGTCAACCTTGAACAAATATAACATTTGGATAAATCCTCTTCCAATCCGGATAAATACTCATCAAATCCGGATAAATCCTCTTCCAATTAGGATAAATCTTCTTCCAATTAAACCAAGATGCAGGAGCACTAGTCACAGCAATACAAGCCCTAAACAAGAAAATAATCAAAATAGAATATGAATTCATATTCAATGAAACAGTAACAATATTATTATTATTGAAAAAACTCAAATGGAGATCTGAGCTGACTTGACCCCCTCGTCAAAGCAGAATTCTGTGTTGAGTTTCACTTACGAGATGGAGAATGATGGGAAGCTGCCCTTTCTACATGTAACAGTCACGGAAAGTCAGGTGGGTATATGAGAATGGAAGTAAGTGCAGAGGGCCTATTGGCCCATACGGTGCCTTGAAGTGGGTAGTATATAGTTGTGCATTAATTGGCTGTTGATTGCTGGTGTTGACTTCTTGATGTGTAGTGCCTCGCTGATGTCGAGCCGCCTGCTATCGCTGTACCTATCAATGATTTCTGTGTTGTTTATTAAAATTTCTCTGATGATGGTCTGGTTGTGAGAAGAGATTATATGTTTCTTGATGGAGCCTTGATGATGGGGTGTGGTGATGGAGGGTAACGTTGCCAGGACGCTACACAACAATACCGAGAGGTGGAGACAGAGACGCTGGTAGATAACACCCAACACTCACCCCCTTGACCAAGATCGATCCCGGGGGCGTCGCGGCCCGTCGTCGTCAAGCACACCTGGCCGCCCCCCCCCCCCGCACAGCTCTCGTGGTCAGCGACCCCTGAGTGACACCTTCAGTACACCTCTCCTCTCTGCACTGTGTAATCAGCTGTTGAGTCTGTGACGTCATGCGTACGGTAGTATCCAGATCAGCTGATACGTCAGCCCAGCTGTTGTCAGGCAGGAGGCAGTTGTTGTCAGGCTGGAGGCAGCTGTTGTCAGGCTGGAGGCAGCTGTTGTCAGGCTGGAGGCAGCTGTTGTCAGGCTGGAGGCAGCTGTTGTCAGGCTGGAGGCAGCTGTTGTCAGGCTGGAGGCAGCTGTTGTCAGGCTGGAGGCAGCTGTTGTCTGGCTGGAGGCAGCTGTTGTCAGGCTGGAGGCAGCTGTTGTCAAGCTGGAGGCAGCTGTTGTCAGGCTGGAGGCAGCTGTTGTCAGGCTGGAGGCAGCTGTTGTCAGGCTGGAGGCAGCTGTTGTCAGGCTGGAGGCAGCTGTTGTCAGGCTGGAGGCAGCTGTTTTCAGGCTGCAGTCAGCTGTTGTCAGGCTGGAGGCAGCTGTTGTCAGGCAGGAGACAGCTGTTGTCAGGTTGGAGGCAGCTGTTGTCAGGCTGGAGGCAGCTGTTGTCAGGCTGGAGG